AAAGAAATAGCTATGAGTTTGGTCAACTGGAACAGAATTGGCCAAAAATAGGGCTCGATCTGCGAAATCGCCAGTGTCGCCGAGACCGCTAACTTCGTGGGATGGTAATTCCGTGAGTTTTCGACCAAATTTCATACTACAGTGGACCCCCGGTATTCGATATTAATCCGTTCCTGAGAGCTCATCGAATACCAAAAGTATCGAAAACCGAATCAGTTTTCCTCATAAGAAATAATGGAAATCAAATTAATCTGTGCAAGACACCCAAAAATATGAAAAAAAAAAATTGCTACATGAAATATTAAGTTTAATGCAATAGAAAAATTACAATAACAATAAAATAATTGACACTTACCTTTAATGAAGATCTGGTGATGATTGATGGGATGGGAGGAGGGGAGAGGTGTTAGTGTTTAGAAGGGGAATCCCCTTCCATTAGGACTTGAGGTAGCAAGTCCTTTTCCGGGGTTACTTCCCTTCTTTTAATGCCACTAGGACTAGCTCCAGAGTCACTGGATTTCTGTCACACAACATATCTGTCCATAGTGGCCTGTACCTCCCATTCCTTTATGACATTCCTAAAGTGTTTCACAACATTGTCAGTGTAATAGTCACCAGCACGGCTTGCAATAGCTGTTAGGGTGATTGTAATCAAAAAAGGTTGCACTTTAAGCCACATTGCACACATTTCCTTAATCTTTGAGGTAGGCAACTTCTTAAATTTCTCTATCCCCTCCTCCGAAGCAGTTTCCTCAAGTGTGGCGTCTTGCTGTTGAAGATGATCTATCAGCTCATCAGTGGTTAGTTCTTCATTGTCCTCCTCCACTAACTTTCACATCCTCTCCACTAACCTCCAACCCCAAGGACTTCCCCAGTGCCACAATGGATTCCTCAACTGGCATAGGATTCTCAGGGTTAGCCTCAAATCATTCAAAATCCCTTTTGTCTACACATTCTGGCAAGTTTTTTTTTTCCAAGCAGAGTTCAAGGTCCTCTTAGTCACTCCCTCCCAAGCCGTACCTATAAGGTTTATACAATTGAGGATATTAACCCTTTCAGGGTCCGTCCCGTAGATCTACGGCTTTACGTTCAGGGTCCAAACCGTAGATCTACGTCATGAGCTCAGCTCACTCTGATAAACTGTGAGTGGTAAATTTGGGCCTAGATATGAGAGAATACATCTATGGTATGTGTACACCACATAAAACAAATCCTGCAGCACACTGTGTATAATGAGAGAAAAAAAAACGAGACCGTGATTTTCGATTAAAACAGCGAGTTTGCAGTGTTTTTTCGTATGTTTTTTATAGTTGTATTTGTGATTTCTTGGTCTCATTTGATAGAATGGAAGACATATTACAGAAATAGATAATTTTGATTGGTGTTAGCACTGGAAATGGTTTGAAATTGAGCTCAAAGTGGCGGAAATGTTAAATTTTTGCCGATGTTCAAGAGTAAACAAATGACCTCACGCGTCTAATACACACCAGCTGGTCGGTCTAATATACATTCACAAATGTGGTGATGATATTTATACAATTATTACAATATTGCATAACAGTAAATCTTCTATTTTTTGGTGTGAATAAAAAATCAAAATGGAATTTATTTGTAAAGCCTCAAAACATAACTAATGAACAGAGGAAATGTTAGTTTAGTGCCAGGAATACCTACATTGTTTATTCTGGACCCTATTTTGAAATTGGAATATTTTGAACTTTGTGTTAAATTGGCCAAATTACCAATTTCCGGTCACTATTTTGTAGTTGAAACAGTTGACTTGGCGATTTCTTGTGCTCAATCGATAGAATAGAAGTAATACTAGTGAAATAGCTGAGAATTTGGTCGACTGGAATAATGTAATTGGCCTAAAATGGGAGTCAAAGTCGGCAAAATAGCCGATTCGTAAATATCGCTGACACATCAAAATTCACGAGAGCATAATTTCGTCAATTTTCCATCAAATTTCGTACTTTTTGTTTTATTACATTCACAAAGATTCTCTACCATTTCATAAGAAAAAATAACTTTTTTTTTTTTTTTTTTTTTTTTTTTAAATTCTTGGACACTGGGGCACCACTTCAGATTTTGGCCTTGGACCCTGAAAGGGTTAAAGTGATCCTTCCAAAACTCTTTTAGTTAATTTAGTTTCTGTGGTCACTATAAAGCACTTTTGAAACATAGCTTTTGTGTACAGTTTCTTGAAGTTGGAAATGACCTGCTGGTCCATGGGCTGCAGGAGAAGAGTGGTGTTAGGAGGCAAAAACTTTACCTTAATGAAGCTCATGTCCCCAGAAAGTCGCACTGCCAAGTCTGTTGGATGACCAGGGGCATTGTCTAATACCAGGAGGCACTTAAGGTTTAATTTCTTTTCATTTAGGTAATTTTTCACAGTGGGGGCAAATGCTTGGTGTAACCAGTCATAGAAAAAGTCCCTAGTGACCCATGCCTTACTGTTTGCCCTCCACAGCACTCAAATTAGCCTTGAGGACATTGTTTTTCCTGAACACACTGGGAGTTTGAGTGATACACCAATAAAGGCTTCACTTTGCAATCACCACTAGCATTGGCACACATGAGAAGAGTAAGCTTGTCTTTCATAGGCTTATGTCCTGGGAGTGCCTTTTCCTCCTGAGTAATGTAGGTCCTGCTTGGCATTTTCTTCCAAAACAGGCCTGTTTTGTTGCAATTAAACGCTTGTTCAGGTTTCAAGTCTTCACTGTCTATGTAATCCTTGAATTCCTTCACATATTTTTCAGCTGCTTTTTGGTCCAAACTGGCAGCCTCACCATGCCTAATCACACTATGTATGCCACTACGATTCTTAAATCTTTCAAACCAACCTTTGCTGGCCTTAAATTCACTCGCATCACCACTAGTTGCAGGCAACTTCTTTACCAAATCATCATGCAACTGCCTAGCCTTTTCATAAATGATCGCTTGAGAGATGCTATCTCCTGCTATGTTTTTCATTTATCCACACCAAAAAGTTTCTCAACATTTTCTAACACTTGCGGTCGCTGTTTCGTAATCAGTTGCAACTTTTGCAAGAACAGCTTCCTTGATTGCCGTTTTCCTGGTCACTATAGTAGAGATGGTTGATTGGGGTTTATTATACAACCTAACCAGCTCTGACACACGCACTCCACTTTCGTACTTTGCAATTATCTCTTTCTTCATTTCATAAGTCATTAGTGCCTTTTTTCTCGAAGGGTTGGCACTAGAAGCTTTCTTGGGGCCCATGGTGACTTATTTTGCAGAAACAAGCACCAAACAATGATATGGAATGTACCGAATGTATCCTTAGATGCGCTCACACTGGCTGGCTTGTAAACACTGGCGCGCACACGGGGCAGTTCAGGCCACACATGGACACGTCTCGTATGAATCATATCGAATACCGAGGAAATTTTTTTGCGATATAATGCATCGAATACCGGATTTATCGAATACGGATGCAATCGAATATCGGGGGGTCCACTGTATTAGTGTCATTACCATCGGGAAAAGATTCTCTATCATTTCATAAGATTTTTTTTTTTCCTACAATTTTGCGACAATGACAGTTTCAGAAAGGGGCTTGCAACAGCCAGAGTGACCCAGCTTATGGGTTTCCAGAGTTACGACCCATCACTCAGTTGATTTTCTGTCTGTTTAGAACCAAAATCTGAGTTCCGAGCGAACTTCAGATATGCTCCCACTAGTTGGTGCAGCGAACACCACAATATCCTCCCAGCAACCCAACATTGTGCTTTTTGTGCAGTTATTTTGCCAATTTTTTTTTTCTAACCATGGGTCCTAAAAGTGCAAAGAACAGTGCTGAGAAGAGGATGATGTCCATTGAATTAAAGCATGAAATTGTAGAAAAACAAGAGAAAAATTGCTTGTTTCAGAGTTTTCCTTGGAAACTAGTGCTCTAGTGCAGTTAGCCTCGCACACTCTGTTTTCTCTTGTAAGATCTCGGAAGGGGGCAAGAATGGGAAGATAGTCAGTGATAATTATTTTTACCTTGGGAGTGGCCACCACCCCTTGTCACATGACATTTTATTCATTCTAGAGTATATATCATGTTTATTTATATTAAATTCAAAGTCAAATTTTTATTTCTTTGCAAATGTTAATGTGTGACTAATGTTATAAGAAGTCTATTTCCATGCATAGTTTACAATGTGTAATTACAGTATTGATTTACCCAAATGTAAATAAAATGTCTTCAAAACTGAAAAATGTTGTTTATGATTTAAAGATAGGTTAAATCAGTGAGATAAATTTGTAACCCTTTGAACTTTTAATCTCTCTTAAAACTCGAATAATCTGTTACCCCCAAGTCTCCGTCCCATGTATCCCCCCCCCCCCCCAAGATTTTTCAAGGATTCGGAGTTACTCCCCTCTCCCTCCCCCATTCTCATCCTTTCCATACCCAACAGCTTGCAAGTATGCTACAAACTAGTGCTCTCTTAAACACATGCAGTCACATTTTTTTGTGCCACTTTATTGAACACTTCCAAATCACACTGCTGCATTTCCCAGATAAACTTTTTACTAGTAGGCCAGCATTTTAAGTCCAATACTCAAAGCTACAGGAACATGCAAGGATTTAATACCCTCGAAGGTATTTACCTATGAATAAGCAGACCTTGTTTTTTACCTAGAAATTTTCTTTTAACCTCTACCTATTATAGCTTGTATATGGTATATTAACATGCTTAGTGTGGTATCTTTTATATCTGTTGCCTGTTTTCAAAAATTTAAAGATGGGCCATAATTTTATGTATATTTTTAATAGCTATTGCACTTTGTACCTACTTGATGCCTTTCTATGCATGGGGTCTGGTCTGAGTTTAGATTTTAGGAATAGTGTAATTGTGAAAATAAAGTGTGCTGATGAATAATGGAAACAAATTCACTACCTTACTTTTTAAGAGATTCCAATAAATATTCAGGTAATTTGTTACAGGATTTAAGCTAATTTCCATAATCTAGATATAATTCTTTTTCAGAGGGACACATATCCCCCAGAAATTGTATATTATCAGTGGAGCCGTTGGGAGGCTTGCTGACTCAATCTTGTATGTGTGCGTGCGCCTCAGATTTTCCCCTTGATATTAGGTAAGTGGTAGTTTATCTTCCCTTAGTCCCTTAATCAGTCATAAAATGTTAGTGCTAAACCCACATTAGAAGCTGTTCTTGGCTAAGCTAGACTGAGCACCCTTCAGTTGTTAGCTATCCCTGGTAGATTTATTCTTTTGCTTAACTTCTAGATACTCTCATCACATTGGCTTTAAATGGTACTAAAGTGTTTCCTGCTTTCTGGATCTTAAATTTTATTTTAATTAGATTTTAATTGAAATTTGGCAGGCTGTTGAATAGAAAAGATGGTAGTTTTTAAAATTCTTTACTCTGCTACACCTTTTTAACATTAAGGTAAAATGGATGACCATAGCCAGCATTAATATACTAGATCAAGCATTTTTAAATATATTAAATAGCCTGGCAGAAGATTTCTTGCTTTCAATCATTGGCCAGCAATCTTGTAAAAAAGATCCATTGAAATTCATACTCTATCACTGGGAAAACTCAGTCTGGGGGTTGGCCACTTCATATATGTAAAAAGTTGAAAAAGGAAATCAGGGTTCAGAGACATTGTGGAGTACAGAATGATAAAGCAGAAAATTACTTTCCATTTGTCAATGCAGCATTCACTTTCAAAAATAGAATGCTAAAAAATAATTTTAAACTATTGTCAGTCTTTTAAGTTGGTTTAGTCTCTTATGGAGAAAAAAGTCTAGCTTCCTGCTAATCTTATTGTAGTTTGTTGGTGTACTCTTTAAAACGACCAATTATATGAAAGCTTTGAGGGAAGCTTGAAGGAACAGGAGGTTTCATTTGCTGCACTCTAAGATATTCTTATATCCAATAAGTCCAGCTCAGTGTAGCTCAGTACATGCCTTGTCAGGGACTGGGCCTTGGGGGCAATGACCCCAGGAAACTCCCTCCAGGTATGCAGAAAGCATGGTGCAGAGTGCGGCATAAATTCTTAATGCAGTTAGAGTGGACCCCCAGATTGCATAATTAATCTGTTTGAGTGTGCAACTTATTCCGAATCTGACTTATTTAGAATTAATTTTTCCTATGAGACATAATGGAAATCCAATTAATCCATTTCAGACTTCCAAAAGCATTAAAAAAGTTTGACATGAAATATGCATTTACCTACACAGGAAACAATGATACATGAAGAATAAAACAATATCATCATGTAGCTTAGGATGGAGTTTACAGTTGTTTGGAAGGGGAATCCCCTTTCATAAAGACTTCAGGTACCAAGTCCTTATCCTGGGTTACTTCCCTTCTTTGTTTTTTAGTGCCACTAGGACCAGCTTGTCCCTTGATGCCTGTCGCTCGGGTCTGTTTCTGGTATACGTTACGAATTGTTGGGAGACAGGAAAAGATATTCCTTCAATATGACGCTAATATCAGCTCAGTGGCTTACTTATCAAGCATAATTCATCTAATATAACATAATAAACAATATTACTAACATAGAAACATGATATATACTCTAGACTGAATAAATATGGCATTAAGAATGGAGGAGTTTGTTGGGGCCACTGAAAGATTAGCCTTACATGGTGGTGGTGAAGGCAGCAGCAGAGGTGGCAGTGTTAGTCAGTATCTCTATATACCTCCAACAACAATGGAGTCAGTTTCGTGCTGTTCTTTTTCTATAGATTAATCGCTTAACTTGCTTGCTACACTGTTAATGCTACACTTTATCTCTGGCTGGCACTATAGCCTTTATAGACTCGTGCTGCTTTAGTATCATACGTATTGCAGAATCACTGAAAAGGGCACATTTTCCCCTTTCTCAGCCCTTTACCAAAGGGCTGGCTGGCACTAGCTTTCTTCGGGCCCATGGTGGCTTATTTAGCAGTTACAAGCACTAAAAAGAATGGAATAATACAAAATGTATCGTATGAATGTGTGGGATTGTCTTCACTGGCTGGTAAACAATGGCACAATGGCTGTACATGGAGTGTTGGGGCCACTCAGGCTGCGCTGACAGGTTCCGGACGAATGACTTGTACGGAGTTCAGGGATGTTCACCGAGCCAATATTTTGACGAAAAAGTTGCTTATTCCAAATATTACTCATTCCAATGACTTAAACTGGGGGTTCACTGTATATGCAGTTATACACTAGCATTTGAGCTTTGAAGTACATTAGAAGCATTCTCCAGGTAATGCATAGAAATATTTGTTTAATGAAACTGCAAATTTAAAATGGCACAACCCTAAATCATTGCAAAGCTTCATCTGTGAAAAATCACATGAAAAAAAAAACTAAATTTTGCAGAAAATTTTTTGTATGTGGTATTGGGTCATCTTAAATGTGGCATCTCAGATTGGCAAAATGTTGAAATCTAATTTTTTATTTCATGTTTAATTATTTTTAGCTCAAATTATAGCATAAAAATGACTAAACACAAACCACTCGTCGAAGAGAGGAGCTCATGATGACGTTTCGGTCTGACTTGGACCGTTTACAAAATTGTCGTAAGCTCCTCTCGTCTGTGTGCGGGTTATTTGTGTAATGTTCCAGTCATGGTATTGTGCCTTTGTTATTTATAAAAATGACTAACCTGTTCAGCTCACTCTGCAATATTTAAAATGATCAGACTACTGATTGTACAATACAAAACAATTTTTCATTGTGAATGTTCTTGCTTCCTATTTAATGCTATTTTGTAAATAGCTTCACAATTTATCTTTTGTATAAAACCTAAATATTTTATAATTGCTTTGCTAGGTAACCTATAATATTTTTTCTTATTGTCATTACAATAATTTTAAATTCCGAGTCTTGTTTGCTCAATACCATATGGCTGTGTTTTAACTCTTAAGCTGCACTGGCATCAATTTTACACCATCTGGGGAAAATGCCAGCGACTTAAATTTAAATTTTAGCACCTCTAATGGCTGTGATGGTCGAATATCAGCAAGTGGGTCTGTGCCATGTATCATGGCATGTAGGGCATTGTAGGAACTAGTGGAAGCCATTGCATTGTTCATGTTGTGCCATCGAAAAAACTCTCACCAGTGAGGTTTACTCTTCCTTGGAGTCTTGGAGTGAGTGGATGAAACTAATACTGAGGATAGTGATGACTTTATTTAATACTGATTTGGGTGAAAATGACACTGGAAATGTCCCTAAGTCATGACCACATGCCTTTACCCTCTGGAGTTTCCTAACAAGCAACCAACCTACAACATTGTAAGCAGAAATTTTGTCGTTTCGGCAAAGATCTAGGCAGTAAAAAGTGCAGCGATGAGAACATCATTGTTGGAATGATGTTTCTACTAATGCACAATACTTAATTGGAGTTGACCCCCCAAAACCTTCTCCAGGTAAACGACCCCATGGCCTGGTCTGAGACCAGGCCTCGTGGTGGATCAGAGTCTGATCAACCAGGCATTTGCCAGTGAAATTGAAATGTGAAGTGATGACCAGGTTGGGAAGTTTATGGGGTTCATTGGATGAGCAATGGTAGCAAAGGAAAAAACTGTAAGACTGTTATGGAGGGGGTTATGTTGGTAATCTTGGCAGAGCCCAGCCTGTCTGGTAAGCCTGCTAGTCTGATGTGGAGGGGGGGGGGCTATGGCCTAAATAGGGGTCATGTGACTTAAGGTTTGGACAGGGAGCCTGCTAGTAAATGTTGCTACGTCATAAATATTACTACAGTAATACTGTTGACTAGTTTGCTGTGCACTTCATAACCACCTGACTTGTTGATTATGGTGGTTGTGATGTAGGGCTGGGAAGGCCATGATCATTGCAGCCACTATCCCAAACACCACCAGCTGCAGTTACAGGTTCACCAGTCTCCTCCATCACTGCCCAAAACACCAGACAGCACATGGAGTTGGAAGATGATGCGGCTGTTCCTTTGTCATTTTTGATGCCTGGAATAAAACTACATTGTACTGTAACTGAGGACTTGTGAACCTTTTGAGAATACTGATACAGCTTATTGTGGAGCAAAAAATTCACATTAGATATATTGTGGTAACGTAATGTTTGAACACAATTGTGCTTGTGGTTGAAAAATGACAAATGTCTGTTACCACTTGTGCTCATGCCACATGTATATAGAAAAATATTGCTGAATATTGGCCAACAATGACTTGTACATACTCTGGTGTTTGGTGACCTTATTCTTCGAAGCAGATTCCTGTTTGTTGAAAATGTTGCCTTTATCTGATAATTGGCAAATTCATGTATTTAAATAGTTTAGTTTTCTACCCATTCAAAAAAATCTTTGTAATTTTTTATGGTGTTGAAGGGAAGACTATTCAAGCAGTATATAGTAATAGTCACTTTGGTGTAAAGTTGTTCATGTGGATTGCTAGTGGCATGGTTATTGATTTGTCAACATAGAACACGCCAATAGAAAGTACCCAAAAAATTACTTGGTGTTTCTGGCAGTGGCAAAGAAAATTGCCATATATTGGTAAGGGGGCATATATTATTCAATAACTGATACACAAGCCCTTCACTTTCATTACCCGTGAACAGATACTTTCACAGTGGAGTTCAAGGACTGAGGAAGCATATGCCCAAATTTTACGTGCTTTTCCGGGAAAATTGGGTATAAGCTTTCATTAATCTGACATTCCTTTGGCATATGACTGTTAACCACTATTCGCCCAGCTAAAATGTACCGGCAAGACTCGGTGAACCCCATTGTGAAACCAGTAACTGATCGATTAAACCAATGTGCACTTGATGAGTTAATGTGACATGCAGATTGGTTTAAAGTAATTTAAAATGGTACATCCATCTGTTTTTCCACCTTGTCGATATTTCCATACTAAACTCGTATAATGTGCCAGATAGACCGTTAAGAGACTAACCTGCAAGAACTTCAATTTGGCCGTCAAAAGCCAAATCATAGTTAAATACCAGGTTACACATGCTGCATCAGTGCTGCTGCTCACAGCCCAAGTCCCTCTCCTCTGGTGCCTGGAAAGCGTTGCCTAACAGTTCCTGGCAGACATAAATAAATGTGCCTAAAAGAGGTGCTGTGTGTTAAGAGTGAAAAGACCACTGAAATGCAAGGATGACAAATATGTAACGAGACTGGATCTCTGACAAGTATGCATACCTATACAGGTCTCCCTCAACATTCGCGAGGGTTAGGGATCAAGAGCCTCGCGAATGTTGAAAAACCGTGAATGTTTGGTGCCCCAATATATTGTAGGGAAATATAATACAATACTGCCTCCTTAACTTGTTGAACCATGAACAATCATAAAATACGTGAAAACGTCATAAATTGTACTAAATATATACATGTTATGCTTTAATAACATGTATGTTATTAAATACCACAGACTCCACCAATGCCTCCACCACTTCCCCAACCACTGCGAGTCCCTACTACCCTCCCTCCGACCCCTGCAACTGGCAGCCAGCTCTCCCACCACTCAGTGTGGCGAGTGTTTTGTTTGTTCATTATTTGCTATTAAACTACAGTATAAATAATGTAAACCCATTCATGACTGCATATTGGAATGGCTATTCGGACAGGTATTGGACGGTGACATCATGTGTTTAGTCTTGAACACAGCAAAGAATCAAACTTTCTGCTACTGTTAATAACACTAGTAATAGTAATAATAATAATTAATAATAATAATAATACGATATAATTGAAGAAGGAAATTGTACAAAAATACAAGGGAGTGGTTGACACATTGTCAGTGTGGCTTTGTTTATGCTGGAGTGAGCGTTAGTCTCCCTGCTCTTCCCAAAATTTCACAATAATTCAGCGGTTGAGGCAGTGGTATTTAATAGTGTTATAAATAATAATAGTACATATTAATAACATTTATTATTATTATTATTATTATTATTATTATTATTATGTAATTAAATGCCGCTGCCTCACCCACTGCCTCACCCACTGCCTCACCCACTGCCTCACCCACTGCCTCACCCACTGCCTCACCCACTGCCTCACCCACTGCCTCACCCACTGCCTCACCCACTGCCTCACCCACTGCCTCACCCACTGCCTCACCCACTGCCTCACCCACTGCCTCACCCACTGCCTCACCCACTGCCTCACCCACTGCCTCACCCACTGCCTCAACAGCTGCCTCAACAGCTGCCTCAACAGCTGCCTCAACCACTGCCTCAACCACTGCCTCAACCACTGCCTCAACCACTCCAGTCGCACTTAATCTACAAGTACCAAACACAATGAATTATTGTGAAATGTTTAGAAGAGCAGGGAGACTAATGCTCACTCCAGCATAAACAAAGCCACACTGACGATGTGTCAACCACTCCCTCGTATTTTTGTACAACTTCTTTCTTCAATTATATCGTATTTATTATTATTATTATTATTATTATTATTATTATTATATTATTATTATTACTATTGTTATTAGCAGTAGCAGAAATGTTTGATTCTTTGCTGTGTTCAAGACTAAACACATGTCACCGTCTAATACCTGTCCGAATAGCCATTCCAATATGCAGTCATGAATGGGTTTACATTATTTATACTGCAGTTTAATAGCAAATAATGAACAAACAAAACTCGCCACACTGAGTGGTGGGAGGGCTGGCTACCAGTTGCGGGGGTCGGTGGGAGGGTAGTAGGGACTCGCAGGTGGCGGGAAACTTGAATATGATTTGGCGGCTGGGAATTTGGCGTTTGGGAATTCGCGAATGTGTGAAGCCCGCGAAAGCTGAAAACGTGAATGTTGAGGGAGACCTGTATAATGTATATTAGAGCTGATTTCCTCTATTCTGTATGCAATACACTACTGTATAAACATTCAAAAATATGCCAGAAATGTTACAAATGGTGCAAAGGTGACATTAAAACATCAAAGATGGTTGACATAAGCCCACTAAGATTATAGTATGCTCTTCACTTAGTGACGAATTCATTGACCAACATTGTCTTAGGAACAGAGCTCTGTTAAGAGAGGCTGTACCTGTAAAACATTGCTTTGCATTGAATCCTCTGACGAGTTACACAAGCTTCATCATTTCTAATGTCATAGTGAACACTGAGTATGTAGTGTACTTGTATATTCAGTGAAAGAACAAAAACTGTTAAGAGTGAACAAGAGAACAGAGCTTGGCATTAGTTTGTTAGTGAACAATAAATATATGGTAAAGGAAATATGGTATGTAAACAGATACAGGTGTAACTAATATTATCCTTATAAAAATAGATAAATGAAAGTTGTGAAATGTTGAAACGGAAATTACCTTCACACGGCAAGTTCCCATGTTGCCATACAACTGAAGTAAATTTCAAAGCTTCGTGTCTTGGTAGGCATGTCAGATTTAACTAATTGTCCTATTAACCCATAAAATCAGGGAGAAATGTATCTGGTAAAATTGTTTTTTCAAAATTGCCAGCACTGGTGGCACGTTTTATTTTTTGACCCTATTTTTTTATTGGGTAGTTTAAGGGTTAACTGTATAAAGTTGAAGTATTGTGCATTCATATGAAGTGGTAGTGTCTTGTGAAGTTTTTCATTGTTCAAATAAAATTAATAAATTCTCTCATTTATATTCAAAAACATTGGACTTGAACTGAATCAGACCTAACAAATGAATCCTTGGTATTTGTGGGATAGTGGTCAGCTTTTCACATAAACACGAGGAAATTAATATTGTGAAGAGGTAAATTACAGCTCTTAATTTAAATAAATATGCACAAGAATTAAATGTACAAGCATGAGCAACAAAGACTGATTGGCAAGTAATTCTTGTATTTCTAACCTTCCAGAAATAGGCAGTTTTCTAGCAACCGGCATCGTAAACTGCAGCCATTCAGGACTTCGTGACTTGACCAAGCCACCCACCCAAAAATCAATCATCCCATTGCTTACAGGCACTAGGTAGGCACTATGCAGAAGATTTTTTTATTTTAAACATTCATTTATTAGCTTTAATTTAAACTGGAATGGACCTTCTGATTGTATAATACTGCATTTGAAATTAAGGTTGTAAAATAAATAGGTTGTTCCCAAATTTGAGTCTTGCATTTAAAGTATATACTTTCTATAAAGGGGAAATTTGAGTTTAATAAATTTGTGCTAAGCACCACCCCCTCCCCCTTTTTTTTTCAGCCGTATCTTGTGTGCTTTATTTCGTTGTAGTAGCTGTTGTCCACCACTGGACACACATAATCCACTTATGCTGTACATAGACAACAAGACCCCAACAGAAAGGAGAAAAAGGCAAGAGGATCGTCATCCCTCAAGCAAACATCTGCTACCTAAACTCTGAATGTGGCTCTCCATATTTCTACCCACTGGCACAGCTTCCCATAGGTACAGGATTTTATTATGATTTTTGAGCCTAGGTGAAGTTGATGAATTAGTCTTGATTTCAGCTTTAAAGTTGTGATAATCAAGTGGCAGGCATAGGTGTGAACCATGGAGAACCTGAACATTCTTGAAGTTGTACTGTAATTTGTGTACCTCCATGACATTAGTTTTTGTCCCTCACTTTTGGTTGTTTAGGCAAGTGTTTCTTTAGTCTCTTAACTGTTTAGGGAAATGTATGCCTCTAGATAGTTTTGTAAAAAATTTTGAAAGTATTGTTCTGAGTTGTGATTTCTTGCAGCAATTGCTGTGGAGTGAACCAGCTGCATGAAACACCAGTTCATTGAATCCCAGGTTGCTGACTCTTGCTCTGCTTAGGAGACTCTTATCTTGGACTTGACATAACTCTTCACATCCCAGGCAATTTAATATTATCTGCTGCTTTGCTAGAGGAAGACTCAACTACCAACCATCAAGGTAAGGTTATTTGTATGTACAATCCCTTAAATTTTTTTTGAGTTTTTTTTTTAATTGAATCTGAAATGAATGAAAGTGTGTACAATGATAGTACTTAGTGATAAAGGTCTTCAGACAAATTGGTTTAGGAAAGTGACCTTGTATAAGAAATAAAGCTAGTGGATAGCTAATGTAAATGTAATTTGATGTAATAAATTTTATCCTAAACTAATTTTAGGAACTTTTCTCCAGCAATGACTATGTGCAGTGGAGACTGACTACCCAGTTCTTGGAATGTTGGGATAGGGTTGAGTTTTTTGTTGATCAGTGACCACTTTACCCTAGAATTAAAATCTTAATACTGTTTTTTCTGCTAAAAGCCTTTTTCCATATTGGCCCAAAATAAAACTATTGTAAAGCACTCTTATTGCTGGAGGGTTTGTAATAAACTATTGATAAACTCTGTGAGAGATCCCATCACCATGTGAGATTAACATCTGCTTGTGCAACCACTATCCCCACAGGACCACTGTAACAGTAAGATTGGGGAACAGTCATATCTGACTTACTACTAAAACTCTCTTAAACTGTCACCTTAATAAATGATCAAGCAAAGGATAACACCATGTCACTTTAACACCAACCAGGCATTAAACCTAGGGATTAGCATTGTAAACAGATAATGCAGCTTCCTAGCTGAAATAAGCTTAGACCCAAAACTTCAAAGAATGTGAAAAGTCCCTATACATCACAACAAAGTACTTGGCTGCTTATGAACTGAGGTATTCATTTAAATTAGGGAAAAATGTATCTGATCAGAGGCTGCCCCTATATAACAAAATTGGTTGTATTCACTTAAGGCATGGATACACTTGATTCAGAAATACAGCATATTAAGTAATACACTATTCTAGTTATCAAATAAAATTAAATCTGCTACATACAAAATATGAAATCATTTGAAAAGTGTACATGCCCACATGCATGTGCCAAATTTAGCCAACTACAAAATTTAACTATGAAAAGTGGATTTCAGTAATATACCCAAGGTGAAATATTAAGGTAAAAGTGACATTTTCATGTGCAAGTGCCTTGATGTAGACATTAGTAGTGTATAATGTTGCAGATGAGTTACAACGTAAATCGCAGCGTCATGGACGCTTTCTACCGCTACAAGATGCCAAAAATTATGGCCAAGGTTGAAGGAAAAGGCAATGGTATAAAGACTGTTGTTGTTAATATGGTTGATGTTGCTAAAGCACTTGGACGACCACCTACATGTGAGTATAATCAGTGACAACTTGTAGTCCTTCTTATTTGTCAAGAAATTAATATATACCATATAAAGGGTTGGGGGATGCAGTTGAAGGGTGGTCTGAGTGTGATGTCAGCATACTTGGGGAAAGACAGATTAGTGAATGTATTTTCTCTGGGGTCACTGGCTTGGTGGGAAATAATCAACTTGAAAGAAAGTGTGTATCCTGGTGAAGTGGGAATAAGGAGGTAGAGGGTGGCAAGGGAGGAAAAAGTAGCATTGGGAGTTTTTTTTTTTTTCCTACCCTTAAATGGTCCAAATAGATGGATGTTCAAATCCATAGTGCTCCAAAAGTAGATCTGGGGTTTTTTTTTTTTTTTACGTTTTCAAATATAACAAATAAAAAATGTAGATAAGTTTTTTTACACTTCAAATGTTAAAAAAAAAAAAAAAAAAAAAAAAAAAAAATACATTCAAATGTTGAAAAAACGTATATATACGTTTGGACTGTTTAAGGGTTAAATTAGAAATGGCATTAGGGAAGACAGCATGTTCAAAAAAGGATAGTGGAAGAGTGCAAGAGGATAGCCAATGAGACTTGATGAATTTTGCTAAGAGTAAGATTTGGAGGGAGATAAGTTAAGAAAGACTAGGAAACAATTGGATTTAGATGTTAAGAGTAAGAGATCTTAGGGAGGTAGTAGTACAAGAAGGTGAAGAGAATATTTTAAGTTGAATGTTGCAGTAAGGGAGGGAGTGAATAACCTTTCAGGAGTCAAAAGCCAGAAGAGAGTGGAGGTGTGGGTAGATTGAAAGGAGTAAAGCAACCAGAGCAGGTGGAATTAAATGTTAAAAGTAGGTGAGGAGATAGTTTGGGGTTGGTGTATTTACAAATATGCATGGAAAGGGAGGGAGGGTATCTAGGGCTTGGCATAGCTGCTTAATTATTTTGTATAAGGGAAATGGAAACAGAAATAAGTAAAAATTATAGGGGATAAGCCTGTTAAGTGTACTGAATAATGTAGAATTATTGAAAGAATTAGGGAAAGACAAAGTATGATTGAAGAGGAACAGGGTTTTAGGCATGGTAGGTAATGTGTAGACAGGTTTACATTGAAGTGCACAAGTGAACAGTATTTGTCTAAAGGTTAAGAACTTTGTTTAGTTTACAGATTAGTAAAAGCGGATAAGGTAGATCGGAGAGCAATGTGACAGATGTTGCAAATTTATGGAATAGGTAGTAGGTTACTTAACAGTATTTTGTAAATACTCAGGTTATGTATAAAAGGGGGGGGGGGAAGGGAGAATATTTTCCAGTAAATGTGGACCTTATATGTTTGAAGTTTAACTTAATCATAGATGGGTTGTGACAGCTAGGGTGTTGGAGAAATAATCACGTACTAATCCCATGTAGGTCATTGGGCACAAGACTTAGTGGTTTGATCCTACGTCTCCCGAGTGCGAGACACTAACTTTCTATTTGCACTTGTTTGTTAGTCTAGCGTGTTGGTGACATGAGATTGAAAGATAATGACTTGGATACAAAGGAGTTTTCACAATTTCCCTTTACCAATGATTGATTGTTTAAGGAGATTCCGAAGAGAAGTTGCAAAGGCTGGTGGAGAATGGTGTGGCAGGGGGCAGGGCTACACCCTGCCTCGGTAGGAGACTGCTGGCGTGTTGGAGAAAGGTATTTATTCGTACGAGTGATGCTGAAAATGTTGAATAAGCTTTCTTTTTGGGTCACCCTCCCTCTGGGAAATGGCAGAAGTGTTGAAAAAAAAAAAAAATTGTATTTTGTTACAGTATATACAGTGGACCCCTACTTACGATGTCCTCAACCTGCGTTAAAACGCTTCCTGTGCTTGTCAGTGTAAAAATTTTACCCCGACGTGCGTTGAAAAACTCTACTTGCATCATTTGTCCTGTACGTGTCCATGCGTCTGTCTGGCCCGAGTACCTCACCTGAGCTAGTGTGACAGTGTTTACAAGCTGGGGCGGATGGTTGCACGCATACATTCGATAAATTGTTTTAGTGTTTTTAGTACTTGTAACAGATAAATAAGCCACCTTGGGCCCAAAGAAAGCTTCTAGTGCCAACCCTGTGGTAAAAAGGGTGAGAATTACTATTGACCCTTTCAGGGTCGACAGGCCTTCTCAGAGACTTGTTCTCAGGGTCGCCCAAATTTAAAAAAAAAAAAAAAATTCTTTTGAAAAGATAGAGAATCTTTTCCCGATGATAATGACACCAAAGGTATGAAATTTGATGGGAAAACTTACGGAATTATGCTCTCGCGAAATTAGTGGTCTCGACGATGTTTACGCATCGGCGATTTTTGCCCACTTGAGCCCTATTTTCGGCCAATTCCAGTGTACTTATTGACAAAAATCATAACTATTTCACTAGAACTCCATTTTGTCTATCGAATGAGTAAAAGAAACCACCCATTTACCGATTTCAACTATCCAATACAGTGGTCAGAATTTAGCAATTTTGCCAATTTCACACAAATTTAAAAAAATGCCAATTTCTGAATAGGGTCCAGAATAAAGACATTCCTGGCACTAAAATAAATTTTTTCCTGTTCATTAGTCATGTCCCCATGCCCCTCTTACATTCTTTTGCTTTCCACTTTGAATTTTTATTCTCGCAAAAAAAAAAAAAAAAAGTAATGCAGACTACTGCATTGGTGTAGAAATGGTATAAATAATATCAGCGCACTTGTGAAAGAATATTACACTCGCCAGTTGATGTGTATTGGACGCATAGCATGATTTGTTTACTTTTGAACTTTGGTAAAAATCGAACATTTCTGCTACTTTGAGCGAAATTTAAAGGTACTTTTCTTTGTAAAACCAGTCAAAATCGTCTGTTTCTGTAATATGTCTTCCATTCTATAAAATGAGACCAGGAAAACTAGAATACAGCAATAAATACCATATGTAGACCTACCAGCTCTCTAGATTTGAGGGCGCTAGAATTTAGGCATACTAGTACAGTGGACCCCCGCTTTACGATCAGCTCCCAATGCGACCAATTATGTAAGTGTATTTATGTAAGTACGTTTGTATGTGTGTTTGGGGGTCTGAAATGGACTAATCTAATTCACAATATTCCTTATGGGACCAAATTCGTTCAGTAATGGCACCTGAACATACTTCTGGAATGAAATATCGTAAGCCGGGGGTCCACTATGTCAAACCCTGGTGCGTAAGCCGTACTAGTACGGCCGAAACCCTGAAAGGGTTAAAATACTATCGTACCACGGTCAGCTGTACTACTCGAAGATGCGGAGACTGTTACTGGTGTGGCTTATCGAGAATACCGAGAAACGGTTAACCCCAGAGGGTTAGCCACCCAGGATAACCCAAGAAAGTCAGTGTGTCATTGAGGACTAATTTATTTCCATTGGGGCCCTTAATCTTCTCCAGGATGTGACCCACCAGTTGACTAACACCCAGGTAACAGGAAAAAATGCCTGGAACTAGTGCTCAAATTGATGAATTTAAGGCTAGCAAAGGTAGGTTTGAGAGATTTAAGAATTAGTGGCATACAGTGTGATAAGGTCTGTTATGGAAGAAAATGGCAAACAGGACCTACATTACTTGGGAGGAGAAGGCACTCCCAGGACAGTCTCATCACTCATCACTGTATCTTCAATAAAGGTAAGTGTCATTTATTCATTTGGTACACTAGTACATGCACAATGTATATATTGTGCATGTATTTTTCTTTGTGTAGGAAAATGTGTATTTCACATGGTAAAATTTTTTTTTATACTTTCAAGTGTCTTTAACGGATTAATTTGATTTCCATTATTTATGGGGAAAATTGTTTAATATATTTATAGATGGGGTTGTAAAAAGTAAATGCTAGCGTGTTCGGGAGAGAGGTGGGATTAAATTATGGGGAATCAAATACAAAATGGGAATAGTTACTTTTTGCTGAGGATACTGTGCTTAGGGAGATTCTAAAAAAAAATTGCAAAATTTTAGTGGAGAATTTGTGAGTGGAAAAGGTAAAAATTTGAAAGTGAACATAAAAAAGGAAAGGTGAGGGGGTATCAAATATTTTAGTAAGGAAAATTGGATATCAAATTGTAGTAGTAGTAGGGAAGTGAATGTTTTAAACCCTACATCCGACTTACACCAAGCTTGGTTCCGACCAACCGCGTAAGTCGAAATGGACGAAAAGTCAACCTTTAAAAAATTCCCGACATAGGGGGTTTGGGCTAATGTCAAAACTTTCCTATAAAACACCTACAAATACTTAATGTAATGTCAATCATTTTTTCATTTTTTTTTCCCATAATTTATTTTATTGTTGTTTCTTTTTTTTTTATCACATGGCCGTTTCCCACCAAAGGCAGGGGGGCCCAAAAAGAAAAACTTTCACCCATCTTCACTCCATCATGTCTTGCCAAAGGGTGCTTTACACTACAGTTTTTAACTGCAACATTAACACCCCCCTTCAGGTGCGGGCACTGTCTTCACATCTCCGGACTCAAGCCCCGGCCTGGGGTTTCCCGAAACCCCTTCATAATGTACTTTGCTAAACACCCAACCACTCAAGTTTTAAAAAACCCTTTTGTCTCCATTCATCCTTAAAAAACACCCATGCAGCCTGCGGAAGTCGCTCAGCATGCCTGCGGGAAGCCAACCCCCTCGCACACAAAACCTTTCCCCCCCTCCCCCCAAAACCTTTCCTGGGCGACCCCCCCCCACCTTCCTTCCACTACAACTGAACACTCTTGAAGTCGCTCTTTTTCGCTCCTTCTCTCTACATGCCAACCCCCTCAAAAACCCCTTTCCTCACCCCTGGACAACAGTTTTGGTAACCCCGCACCTCCTCCTAACTTCCAAACTACGAATTCTCTGCTTATATTCCCCACACTTTGCCCCAACTGACTTTCCCCACTGCCTCCCCCTTCCCCTCGCTGAAAACATTCACCCCCATGTTCACCCCCTAAAGGGTTGAAAAAACTATACTCCATACTTTCCCCCTCTTTGCCTCCAAGGCAAATT